CGGTGCCCAATTTGCCGCCCCGGCCCCCGCTCTTTAAGGCTGCGGGACCGGGAGTGGTGGTGGGCGGGGGGGGGGGGTTGCGGAGCTGCTCCCGGTACCGGGGGTTGGCAGGGGAGTGGGGGATAAGCGGAGAGGCTCCCGGTAACGGGAGACCGAGCCTTCCCCGCCGCCGTTACCGGGCCCCTGCCGAAGGGGCGGGCTGCGGCCGCTGCGGGACGGCGGCGGCGGGATGAGGCGGGCGCGGTGCTGAGTCGGGAGAGGGGACGCGCCATGACCTCGGCGCGGGAGGCAGCCGGTTCCCCCCACGGTTGCCGGCGGAGCGCCCTGGACCAGCTCCCGCCGCCCGCCAGCTCCAACAAGCCGCTGACCCCCTTCGGCATCGAGGACATCCTGGGGCGACCCCGCGGCGGGAGCCCCCCCGGTACCGGCTCCGGCCCCGGGACCGCCGCTACCCCCGCCCGGCTCCCGGAGAAGGCTGCGGGGCCCCGCGGCGGCGGCATCGCCCCGTCCTCGCCGCTCTGCGCGCTGGAGGAGCTCGCCAGCAAAACCTTCCAGGGGCTGGAGCTGGGCCTGCTGCAGGCGGCGGAAGGTACCGGGACCGGGGGAGATCGGGGCTGGGGGGGGGGACGGGACGGGACGGGACGACGACAGGGACGGACGCGGGGACCGGGCAGGTGCCGGGGAACTGGGGTCCTCCTCGCCCCGAGCCAGGGAAGTTTTGTCCGCAGAGAGACCCCAGGACGGGGCCGGTGCTCGCCCGCAGACCGCCCGGGGCACCTCGCGGCCGAGGGCCCGGTTCGGGAGCGCAGAGTCGCGGATGGACCGACAGGACCCGGCCCGGCAGCTTCACCGGGGGCCGCGGGCACTGGCCCGGCTCCGGGGCGGCAATGGGAGGTGGATCGGTCCTGCGGCGGCGGTCGGGCTTCACCGGGGAAAGCGGCGGCCTCCGGCCCCGCCGAGCCGTGACCGTGACCGTGACCGAGCGCAGGAGCAGAGCTGCGGATCAGGCCCGTTGTCAGCGAAAACCCCGTTATCGGCGCCGGCGGTGACTTCTCAGACCCTCGGTGGGATCCGGGGCCTCTCCGTCCTCAGAAACCCGTTACCAAGGGAGCAGGAGGCCGCTCCCCGCTCACGGACGTTGACCGCGGGCGGCTTGGCACCGTCGGCGCCTCCTTTGGGGCACCGGGTACGGCAAGAGCCGGAGGGAAAGAATCGGCCCCACCGGGCGAGCGGCCCACGGATCCTGCTGCAAACCCTCCCTCGAAGGGACAAACGGACACGGGGAGGAGGAGCGCAGCCCCAGCGATAACGAAACCCCCCTCACCGGGAGGGGCAGACGGACACGGGCAGACCGAGATTAACGAAAACTCGCAAAGAAGAACGGACACACGGACAGGCCCAGCGGGGCTCCCGCCGTTAACGAAAACACACCCGCCCCGGGCCGGACGGACAGGGGCAGATGGACCCGGGCTCCCGTTATTAACGAAAGTGACGTCCCGCGGCCGGACCGACGGACACGGACAGAGCCGCCCTCCGGGAGTGAACGAAAATGAAGTTCCCCTCCGCTGCCGGGCTGCGGGAGTTACCGATACGGGCAGAGCGGGGGTCCGGGATTAACGAAAACCAAAGCAACGTTAACCGGCCGGACAGGCGGACACGGGTCAGCGGCCGGTAATGAACGCAATAAACGGCGTAGCACGGATGGAAACCGGAGAGAAATGAGACAGCGGAATAAGGTAAAAAACTCGTTACGGAACGAACGCGCGGACACGGCCGGGCAGCGGGGCCGCGGCAGTGAACGAAAAGAGCCGTTATCGGACGGACAGAAGGACACGGCCGCGGGGAACGAAATAAAACCCGTTACCGGCCTGACAGACGAAGAGAAACGGGCAGCGCCGGGCTCCGGGAGCGGAGGTAAATTCCCGTTACCGCCCGGACAGAGGGACACGGCGGGGCCGAGCGCGGCCTTGAAGGGAGCCTTCCCGGCCGCCGCTAACGGCGCCGTAGTGAACCGGGACCATTGGACGAAGAGACAGAAAGCTCGAGGTTCCCGTCATTCCGGTGCTCCCGTTACCCGCGGGCAGAGCGGGGCTGCGGGATGAACGCGAAAAACGTCCAATACCTTCTCGCAGCGATGGACAAAAACGGGAGGGATCAGAGCTCACACAAAACCCCATCACCCCGGCGGACCCACGGACACCGCCGAGACACCACGGGCCTCCGGTAACGGCCGGGACCCACCGACAGGTCACGGGCAGAGCGGACCCGGGGCCCCGCCGCGGCGGAGGGAGCTGAAGCCGGTATGGGGAAAGCAGAGACTGGCCCGCGCCTCGGGAGCCACGTTACCGGGCGGCTGATCGTCCCGCCGGCACTAGGGAGGCTATAACGGCCCGGCACCGGCACGGCGACAGGCACCGGGACCCTGCCGCCGGTGTGGAACCGGTACAGATGCCGCGGATGGACACCGGATCCGCGTCTCATCGGAGATTTCTCCTCTGCTCCACCGGCAGTGGAGCTCCCGGGTCGGGGCCTCGGGGCTGCTGCTCGGCAGTGCCGAGAGCGGCGGCCGAAAACCACCGGCCCCGGGGCTTCTGCAAACCGCCGAACGGGCGGATCCGTGCTGACGACTCCGCTCCCGGTCTCGGCTCTTCCCGGTTGCCGGTTCCGGCCCCGCAGCCCGGGCTCTCTCACAGATCCGGTGCCGGGGTCGGGGCGAGCCGCAGGGGGGAGGAACCGGGCTGGAGCCCCGGGAGCTCCGGCCGGACACGGAGCGACGGCGGCTGCGGCAGGACCGGGGTCTGTGGGACGGGACGAACGGTTCTCGGCTCCCGGCAGCGGGCCCGGTATCGGTTTGTTTTGAACGGCGGAGCAGACGCCGGTTTTACCGGGTTCGACGCTTCACAGCCGAGACAAGATCGGCGATGAGACTACCGTACCGTGCCGCACCGTACCGTGCTGGTGCGGTCCCGGAGCCGATGCCATTGCATACGCCGGTACCGTTACCGGTACCGTACCGTGCTGTGCCTGTTCCGCACCAGTGCCCGTGCGGGTGCTTGTGCCGGTACGGTTGCCGGTGGCGGGCCGTGCCGTACCGTACCGTGCCGGTGCCACGCTATGCCGTGCCGCATGGAGTCGGTACTGTGCCGTTCCCGGGCTGGTCCTGCGTCCCCGCTGCCGTGCCGTTCCCGCTGCCCTACCCGTTCCCGTTCTATTCCGCACCCGCTGAACCCGAAGCTCGGGAGCCGTTCCCGTTCCCCTTCCCGTTCCGTACCGTGCCGCTGTCCCCGCAGGTCGGGAGCCTTTGGCCGTTCCGGGGTCTCGTCCTCCCTGCAAGAAACGTCGCAAGTCGCGGACGGCGTTCACGGCGCAGCAGCTGCGGGAGCTGGAGCAGCGGTTCCTGCGGCAGAAGTACCTGTCCCCGGTGGACCGGGACCGGCTGGCGGCGCGGCTGGCGCTCAGCACGGCCCAGGTCATCACCTGGTTCCAGAACCGCCGCGCCAAGCTCAAGCGGGACCTGGAGGAGCTGCGGGCGGACGTGGCCTCGCTGCAGGCGCTGCCCCCCGCGGCCCTCCGGCACCTCGCCGCCATCCCGGACCCGCCGCTGCCCCCCGCCGCCCCGGGCACCGGCCCCACTCCACCGCCCGCGGAGCTCTCGGAGGAGGAGATCGACGTGGGGGACTGAAGCGGCACCGGGGGGGGGTCACACGCACACACCGGGGGGGTCCCGGGCCGGCACCGAGACTGAGCGAGCCCCCGGTCCCGGCGGGACTTGGTGCAATTTTGGGTCCGTTTTTCATTTGCTTCCATTTAATTCTCTTTTTAATTTGATTTTCTGAGGTCTCCGTGCCGGGGGCACCGGCGGGAGGGGGGTTCGGGGGGGGCGGGACGGACACGGCCCCGGTATAAACAATCGGAATAAAGGCCACACGTTATTAAGGAGCGCGGAAGGGCTCGGGCGGACACCGGGGGATACCCGTAACCGGGGTGAGGGGACACACACACACCGGGCACCGGCGTCCCCCCCCGGCTCGGTTGCGCCCATCCCCGTGGCCCCGTTACCGCCAGTACCGGGGTCCCCTCGGGTTGGGGCGGGGCACCGGGACACTATTTCCTAGTCCATGCCGCCCCGGTGACGTCACCGAGCGGAGCGGTGACGTCACTCTGCGCGGGAGCAGCCCGGAGGCCGCGGGGACGGGCGAGGGGGAAGGCACCCGAGGTACGTGGGGGCAGACACGCGTCTCGGCTTCAGCCCGCAGCCCCCCCAGGAGCCCCGTGGGTGGATGGCGGCAGCGACCCCCCAATCCCTCCTAAACACCCCCGATCCCCCCCAGCCCCCCCCTTTTTGCCATTGTCAAACCGCAGCCGCCCGCGGGGGGAGGCGAGAAATGAGATTCTGCCTCTAGAAACGCCTGGGAACGTCCCGGGGGAGCGCGTTTGATGTGACAGGAGCGGGACGGGGCTGACAGGGACGGGGGGAGGGTGGGGGAGAGATCGCCGTGGGTCCCATCCTACCCCCCCTCCCTTTCCCATGTCATCCCCTGCCTGCATCACCGCACAACACGTCCCTGTCCCCGCTTAAACCTGCCCAAGTACCTTCCCCCCCCCCCCCCCAGCACTGAGACACCGAGTCCCCCCCATACACCCTCCCCGTGGCCTCCGGGCTGTTACCCCACAGCACCCACAATAGCTGCATGTGCCCCTCCCAACCGCCACCCTCCCCACAGGTCCCCATTGACCTCCAGCACTGGCCGTGGACCCCATGATCCCTGGAGGGGTTGGTGCCCATCACCGGGGCCTCGGTGGCTCCCCCCCCCCCCCCCCGCCCGCTTCCCTCCGCTCCCAATTTTCCGGCTGACGGCGCGGCCGCCTCCCGCCGCGGCTCTTCAGTGCTTCTAACGAGTGATTAATTGCGGCCCCTCCGCGCCTCATTTGCATAGTAATTAAATCCCCTCCCCCCCCCCCCCCCCCCCTCGGGCCCGGTACCGGGACGGACGCGACGCTGGGGCTCGGGTTTATTAAAACCCCCAAAGGGGGCAAGTCCCTGAGGGGGGGGCGGGGGGGACCGGCCCCCCCTCCCGCTGCACCCGGTACCGGGAGGTGGCGGGGGGGCCGGTCCTGCTGCCCGCGGGGGGAGAAGGCACAGGCTGGGTGCGGGCAGGAGGCACCGGGAGCTGAGGGGGGGGGGGGGGCGGTTACAGGGGCTCCCCCGGGCAGGGCTGTGGGTACCAGCGCGGGCGGGGGGTGGCGTGAGATGGGTGCTTGAGCTGCAGGGCCAGGAGGGTGCCTTCCACCGGGGAGTCCTGGGGGGGAATGAGAAGGGGGGAGGATAAAAAAGGGGAGATTAAGGGGGGATAGGAATGGGGAGAACAAAGGAGGTGCAGGAAAAGGAGAGGCATGAAAAGGGGGGTGTAAAGAGAAAGGGGGGGAAGTGTCACACCACCCCCAGGGTAGGGCCAAGCCCCTGCCCAGCCCCACAACAGCCTCGGGGGGGTCGCGGCCCCCCCCCCGCTCACCCTCATGGCCTCAAAGGCCGCTTCGGCCGCCTCCTTGCAGGTGTAGTTGAGGAAGGCGCAGCGGCGCTCAGGCAGCATCCGGATGGACTGAATCTCCCCGAACCTGGAGGGCAGCGTTAGGGACCCCCAGCTCCGCAGGGAAGCATCGGGGACCCCCAGTCTGGGGGTGCACAAGGGGTCAGGGCGGGGGGGGGAGAAGAGGTCTGGGGGGACACAGGGAGAGGGACGGGGGTCTGGGGGGGCACATGGGGAGCACAGGAGGTGTGGGGGGGGCACAGGGGCCCCATGCTCACTGTCCGAAGCAGTGCTGCAACACGCTCCTGCTGATGCGGGGGGTGACGTTGCCCACCCAGAGCGGGAAGCAGCCCCTGCTGAGGCACTGCTGGTCACTGGGGGGGCTTTGGGGCTCAGTTCCAGGCCCCAGGGCTGTGGGCCCCCCATTCTCTGCTGTACCTGGGGGGCTGGCACTGGGCCTGGATCCTGGAGCTCCCGATGGTGATGAAACCACTCATGCCCATGGCTTTGTCGTGGCTGCTCCCTGTGACACCATGGGTCAAACCCAGCCCCAATGGCCCACTGAGACCCCCCAGACCTGAGACCACGGCCCTTTGCCACTCCCCCCCCCCTTGAACCAAACCGGGGTCTCTTACCAGACCGGAGGGGCAGCGCCGGCTCCGCAGCCTCCAGCGGGGACAGGGGGGACATGGGGGAGGGAGGAGATGTGGGAACCCCCCCAAGGCTGCTCTGCTGCCAGGGGAGAGGAGGTCAGACCACGGGGTGTGAGCCAGGGGGGCTTCAGCTGGGGGCCCAGGGGAGACTGTGGGCTGAAGGGTGCTGGGGGTGGGTTTGGGGGGGTGGGATACAGGGATGGGTTGGGGGATGGGTTGTAGGGTACCATGGGGGTCCAAGGATGGGGTGGTGGGGTTAGGGCGGGAGCGAGCTGCAGATGGGGTGGGTGGTACTGGGAGTGCATTAGGGGCGCTGGGAATGGGGGTGAATAGGGGGTGCCAAGGGTGGGTTGAGGAGCACAAGATCTGGGGGGAATGCTAGGGGTCGGGGCTTTGTTGGGGGGTGCTGGGTGCAGTGCTCACCTGCAGCAGGGCCCGGCAGGCCTCCAGCTGCGCAGCTGCATCAGTGTCAGTGCTGGTGCCGGTGTGGTGCAGCCGCAGCAGCTCCTCAAAGGTCTGGGCAGCCTCAGCGTAGCGCTGGCACACGGAGAGGTGCTGAGCCTGAGCCACCACTACCTGCACCGGCCCCTGCCCCATGGCTGCCCCACACGGCGCTCAGCCAGGTCCTGCTGGCACCCCTTGGCTCCCCACTGATACCCCCAACCCATCCCCGTGGCACCCTGCAGCATCCCAACCCAGCCCCACTGCTACCCTTCAGCCCCCATTCAGCCCCACTGGACTCCACAGCCCCTCCTGGTTACCTGCAGCCCCCGCAGGGCCTTGCCCTTGCGGAAGAGGCCCTTGGCCCAGCGCGGCTGCAGCCCCAGCGCCCGCTCCGCGTCCCCCAGCGCCTCCTCGTAGCGCTGCAGCTTCTCGTAGCAGTAGGAGCGGTTCCCGAGGAGCCTGCGGGGACAGGGCTCGGGTCACGGCTGCCCGGCCCTGGGACCCCGCTCCCGGCCCCGGTACTGACCGGTGCTCGCGGGGGTTCAGCTGCAGCGCCGCCGTGAACGCCCGCACCGCCTCGGGGTAACGGCCTCGCAGCGCCGCCGCGTTGCCCTGGCCTGTGGGGACAAGAGCGGCCGCTGCCGAGCCCCCCGGGGGCCACACTGGGGAGGGGGACACCGCGGCTGCACCGTCCCCAGGCATGGCAGGAGGGGCCCCCGGGCACAGCCCAGCACTGACCTGCGAGCACCAGGCTCTGCTGCATGGCGCTGGTGTCCAGGGGCGCGGGGGCCTGTGGGGGAGGCAGCGCTGGGTGCCCATGGCACAGGCAGCGCCCCCCTGCCCAGGCCCCCCCCCGGGTCCCAACTCACCTTCCCCGGTGCGCTCCTGCCCCGCTCAGGGTCCGTCCTGGGCGGCTTCTCCCTGCCGGGCGCCGGGAGCCGCACACCCGCTTTCTGCCGCGCTTTGAACACGAACGTGCAGCTCAGGTCCAGCTCCTCCTGCGGGCAGCGGCGGGGAGGGCAGAGCCCCAGATCCAGCTATGGGGCAGAACCCAGGCTGCTGTGGCGCAGCCCCTGGGCCATCATGGGGAGCCCCACAGGAGCCCTCACCTCCATCTCCTCTGCTCGGGCCTCCCGGTCTCCCCCCTCCTCTCCCGGGGTGGCTGCGCTGTCCCCGGGGCTGGGATCGAGCCAAGCCCCCTCTTCCTCCTCAGCATCGCCGCCCTGGGGGTGCCTGGTGCCTGCAGCGCTGCTCGGGGATGGGGGGGTCTGCAACGAGAGAGGTGGCAGCGGGGCTCTGCCTATTCCTCCCTCCACAGCACCCACCTTTAGGCACCCACAGCGCCCCGCAACACCCACATCGCCCCGCAGCACCCACAGCACCCCGCAGCACCCACAGCACCCCGCAGCACCCACAGCGCCAGGCAGCACCCACAGCGCCCCGCAGCACCCACAGCGCCCCGTAGCACCCACAGCGCCCCGTAGCACCCACAGCACCCCGCAGCACCCACAGCGCCCCGCAGCACCCACAGCGCCCCGTAGCACCCACAGCGCCCCGTAGCACCCACATCGCCCCGCAGCACCCACAGCACCCCGCAGCACCCACAGCACCCCGCAGCACCCACAGCGCCAGGCAGCACCCACAGCGCCAGGCAGCACCCACAGCGCCAGGCAGCACCCACAGCGCCAGGCAGCATCCACAGCGCCCGGCAGCACCCACAGTGCCCCGTAGCACCCACAGCGCCCGGCAGCACCCACAGCGCCCCGTAGCACCCACAGCGCCCCGTAGCACCCACTGCGCCCCGTAGCACCCACCGACTCAGCCTTCTGCTTGGCTTGGGACTCCTGTCCCAGCTTCTCCCGTTTCTTCCGCTCTTTCTGCTTCTGGAAAGAGGGAATCACACAGGGAATAACTGTGCCGTGACCGGGCGGCACAGATCCCCCGCTCCAGCACAGCCCAGCCTCGGTGGGCACCCACCTTCTTCTTCAGCTTCTTCTTCTCTGCTTTCCTCTTTACCCGCTCCTCCTCTGCCACCAGCTCCTGCGCGTTCCGCTCCGCTTCCTGGGGAGGAAACACCGGGAGCCACCAGTGCCCGAGCGCCCCGGGAGCTGCCCCCGCCCCGCTCCCGGCTGCGGCCCCGGCTGCTCCCTCACCTCTGCCGTGGGCCGGAGGTCCTGCGGGGCCGGCAGCCAGGGCAGCTTCGCCTCCAGCGCGCTCGGGGGCGGCCGCAGCGGGTCCTGGACCAAAAACGCTTTTCGGAGCCCGCAGAAGGTGGAGCCGGGGTCGCCATCAGCACTGGGAACCGCAACGGGAACCACAGTGGGAACCGCACCGGGCCACGGCCACGACCAAGACCACTGCAACCCCTCATCCTCCTCTTCATCCTCCTCCTCCTCGCTGGACGCCTCCAGCCGCCCGGGGCAGTACCAGAAGCCGGGACCTGCGCGGACAGAACCGGGGCCGTCAGCGGCAGCTCTGGGGCACCGGGACCGCCAACAGCCTGCACCGGCGGCTCCCCCGACTCACCGCGGCCGAGTGCGTCCCAGGCCCCAGTCCCGTCGCCCATGGCGCTGAGGTCCGCGGGCAGCGCCCGGCGCTCGGGCGGGCAGTGGAAGGGGCAGAACGGGGCTGCGGGGAGCGGAGCCGCGGGTAACGTAAACCGAAACCGAAACTCGGCGGGGGTGGAGCCGCAGCGGGCTCCTCCTCCCGCGATGGAGCCTCCCCCTCCCCGTGCCCCCAACCCCGTGGTGCGGCTCCCGCCGCTGCGCGACCCCGGCCCCGCCGCACCCCGGCCCCGCGGCACCCCGGCCCCGACGCACCCCGGCCCCGCCGCACCCCGGCCCCGCCGCACCCCGGCCCCGCTGACCCCCCCCCCCCGTACCGCCGCTCCAGCCGCCGGGGCCGAGCGCGCAGCCCCAGGGGCAGGCGGCGGGGGCAGCCCCGCGCCCGGAGGGGCCAAGCCCCGGGCTCCGCTCCCCGCCCGCTTCCCGCATCGCCCCACGCCGCTGGCGGAGGACAGGAAGGGGGGCACTGGGCGGACCGGAAGTAGGGCACGGCGCCTCCTGGGGCTGCCCTGCCGCCATGCTGGGTGCTGGCAGGACGGCGGCCCGCGAGGCCCGTACCGAGCAGCGCCGCGGCTCCGCGGCCCCTCCCGCCGGCCCCGCCGCCCCTCGAGCCGGGTTCCCGGCCGAGTCCCGCTGCTCCGGAGCGGCCCCGCGGCGCTGACCTCCCGCCGGGTCAGCCCTGCCCGTTCCTCCGGATTAGCGCGGGCGCGGCCTAAGCCGCTTTCCTCCCACCGCCGCCGGCCATGGCTCAGCATGGAGGACGGCGGCCGTGAGCGGCGCGGCGCGGAGCCCTGCCCGCAGGTGAGGCCCTGGGCGGGCGCGGAGCCCCGGGATCAGCCCCATCACCGGGGGCACCGGCGGGGCCCGGGCCCGGTGCGTGGGCCAGGCCCCAGCCGCGTTTAGCGTCTCCCTGGCAACGGCCCCGGAGGGGGCGCGGTCTTAGCGGGGGGCGTGGTCACGGGGGAGACTCCGCGGCTGCCAACGGCGAGGGGCGGGAACAGCTCTCAGGCCACGCCCCCCTCGGCGTTAGCCCCGCCCCTCCCGGCGCTGACCGCCCGCGCTCCCGCAGGGCCCTGTCCGCGATGTCGCCGGCCCCGGTGGCCTCGTCCCGCTGCTGCTGCCGGCCCTGCCCGCGCCGGGGGACGGGGATCCCCGCGGGGCACCCCCAGAGCCAGGTGAGGGCCGGGCCGGGGGCGGGCACAGCCGGGTGCAATGCACGTGTCCCTGCGGTGCGAGCAGGGCTGCGGCACCCCAGAGCGTCCGGGAGAGGGGCTGGGGGTCTCGCCGGGGTGACCGCAGCGGGGGCTGCCCCGCACCGAGGTGTGGACCCCCGGTCCCCGCAGGCAGCAGCTCCCGGGGGCCCCTGTCCCGGTCCCTGCGGAAGGCCGAGGCGATGCTGCGCGGCTGCGTCAGCCCCGGCCTGCGGCGCCTGCTGCCGACGCGGCCCCGGCGACGCGGCCCCGGCAGCGAGGACGAGGATGAGGACGAGGATGAAGAAGAAGCCTCCGCGCTTCTGACCCCGTTGGAGCGGAGCTTCCCGGGGCTGCGCCGCTGCCTCTGCGTCCGCGAGGATCCGCGCACCGAGACCTTCCACGGCCACGTGCGGCCGCCGCCCTGCGACGCCGACACCGCCGACGCCGTCACCACCGCCGCGGCCTTCTCGTTCCACCCGGTGCACCCGCGCGTGGCCGAGCGCGGCGCGGCCCTGCACGCGCTGCTGCGGCAGCGCCACCTCCTCCGCCTCGCCCGTGACTACAGCCGCCGGCTCCAGGCCGCGTCCGGCTTCCTCCGCCGGCTGCTGGCGCTGCTGCAGGAGCCGGTACCGGAGCTGGACTCGGGGCCGCCGCTGCGGGAGCTGTGCCGGGAGCTGCGGGTGCACACCGGGCACTGGAGCGCGATGCGGCGGCGGCTGCGCGGGGACCCGTGGCTGCGGGCGCTGGTGCTGCACCGGGGCGAGGCCGTGGCGCACATGCGGCGGGCGCTGGTGCTGCTGGCGCAGCAGGCGCTGAGCCTGGCTGAGCACCTCGCCGAGGCGCGGCTGCGGGCACTGGCCCGGACCGGCAGTGCCGCCGCTTCCCTCCCGGAGCTGCTCTCCGACCTCTTCCAGGGCCTGGACATCTACAACCGGGCCGTGGGTGACCTAGAGCAGGAGCTGGGCGCCGCTGGCTGCCTTCCCACCGGCACCGCCGGCCGTCCTGGTGCTGCCGAAGCCGCATCCCGCGCCTTCCCAGCGTCCCGGGTGCTGCAGATTGTGGCAGCTGAGCGGGGCTGGCTGGCGGCCGGGCGGCTCCGGCCCTTCCTACAGCTGCGGGCCGGTGCCGGTGGGGATGAGCCTGTGCGCTGGGAGGACACCGAGGTGCCTTGGCTGCCGGAGCACGGTTCCGCGGCGGACACGGATCCGGGCGACCGGGAGGAGCAGCCCGGCATGGCCGGGACACTGAGGGCGCTGTGCAGGGAGGATGAGGAGCTCATGGGCCTCCTCCTGGGGGTGCTGGTGGCCTCATCCGGCAGCTTCCAGCACCACGTCCTCCATGTGCCCAAGGAGAAGCCACCGGCGGCGGCACCGGGGCCCCCGGAGCCCCAAGAGCCGGGCTGGGCCGGCTGGACATCGGTACCGGCGGCCCAGGCCCTGCTCGCACGGTACCGGCCGCTGTTCTGGGACGCCGCGGCCGCCGCGCTGGGGCACGGTGCGGAGCTGCTGCCCGGCGGGACTCTGCCGGCGGCGGCGCTTGAGCTGAGCGGCGCCATCGGCGCCGGTACGTGGGGGCGGCGGAGGGGGCCGGTACCGGGGGCTGCTCCTCGTGGCCCTGACAGCCCGTCCGGTCCCCCCGCAGCTCCTGTGCCCCGGGAGTGCCGGGAAGAGCTGGGGCGGCTCAGCCTGAGCTTGCTGTGCCGCGGCGCGCTCCGGAGCTGGGACACAGGTACGGGGGTCCCGGGAATGGGGTGTGAGGCACCGGGAATGGGAGGCGGGATGGGAGCTACGGGGCTACCGCCCGTGTGTCCGCAGACTTCACCTGCGCCCTGGGCTCGGCTCTCTCCGACAAGTGCTCCGGGGATGCGGTGCCGGCGTCGGGCCCTGTGCGGAGCCGCACAGCGACGCTGCTGCACCGGCTGTACCCGGCCCTGGCCCTGGCCCTGCGCTGCCTGCGCCCGCCGCCCGGTCAGTGGGGTCCGGGGAGGGGGACGGGGACACCGCGGTGTCCTGCCCCACGGCTCATCCCCACCTCTGTCCCCCCAGACCTTCCTCCCCGGCCCCCGTGCCTGCGCCTGCAAGTCCTGGGCTGCTGCCTGGCCACGGTGCAGGCTGCCCACTCCTGGCTGACCGGCAGAGCCTGCAGGTACCTGGCGGCCTGGGCTCTGCCCCAGTTCCTGCTTGTCACCCAGGGGGACCTGCAGGTACCTGGGGGTTGGGGATGGCTTGTGGGGCTGCTGTGGGGCTGCTGTGGGGCTGGCATCTTCCTACACCTCTCCCCTGTGTCCCAGCTGCTGAAGATGGAGACAGACAAACTGGTGCTGCTGGTGAATGGTACCTTCCCGGAGCCTGGGGATGTCTCCCCACCGCTTCCCCTCCTTGTGATGTCCAACCAGGAGCTCCAGCTCTGCCAGCGCATTCGTTCCATGGCCACCAGCATCCAGGTATGCACCTCTGGGAGCTGAACCATGGCCATTCTGTGCTGTGCTATGGACATTCCGTGCCATGCTATGGCCACCGCATCCCACCTCCCACTCCTCTGCCCCAGCTCTTCTCAGGGGACGTGCTGAAGATGTTCTCCACCGGCTGCAAGCGGATGTCGGCGCAGATCTTCCACCAGACCATGCCCAGGGGCAAGCACTGGAGGATCTCACTGCGCGCCGGTGCGTTGGGTGCCCCGTTGCGGGCAGGGGCTGCAGGCAGCAGCACAGGGTGCAGACAGCAGCACAGGCAGTCCTGACGCTGTTGCCGTGCCCCAGAGCTGCCCAGTTGCCCCAGTGCATATGCAGCAGCAGCAGCGCAGGCAGTGCTGGGGCAGGTGCTGCAGGGAGCGCGGCTGCTGCCCCGTGACGCGCAGGCCCCCGCCATGGCCGGGGGCACCACGGCCTTCCTGGAAGCCTGGATGGAGCACATCCTGGAGCACCGCATCCGCTTCAGGTACAGGCTATGGGGCACCGGGGGGTTACCGGGGGTGCCGCCGGCCCCGGGACCGTGCTGAGCGCGCCGCGCCGCAGCCTGCAGGGAGCGCTGCAGCTCCGGCAGGACTTCGAGCTGGTGCGGGAGCTGGTGGCCTCGGAGCGCTCCGGGCTGGCCCCGGAGACCCGGCGGGAGCTGGTGGCCCTGAGCGTGTTCCAGCAGATGGATGGAGCCATCCTGTGCCTCCTGCAGCAGCCCGGAGCCGCGGCCAGAGCCGGAGCGCGGCCGTGGAACAGCCTCAGGCACTGCTGTGGGTCTGGGGATGGGAAAAAGGATGGAGATGGGATAGGGATGGGGATGGAGATGGGATGGGGACAGGGGTGGGGATGGGGGTTACAAAGGGGATGGGATGAGATGGCAATGGGGATGGGAACAGAACGGGGATGGGATGGGTGGAGATGAGGATGGACATAGAGATAGATTGGGGATGGGTATGGGATAGGGACGAGGGTGGGGATGGGGATGAGGATGGGATGGAGACAGGGATAGGGATGAGGATGGGAAGGAGATGAGATCAGATGGGGATGAGGATGGGGACAGGGGATGCAGTTAGGGAAGGGATGGGGATGGGCACATGAGGTTGGGGACAAGGATGGGCTGGGGATTGGGATGGGTCCCTCTCCCCTTGGCTGCCCCACGGGCTGTGTCCATCCCAGTCCCGGCCGCGCTGGTCCCATGGAGCGCGTGGTGCCGGGGACCCCCCAGCTCCATCCCCTCATCCTCCTCCAGGCTCAGACAACGGCTCCCACCCCCCGGAGCCGGCAGCGGGGATCCTGCAGGGCCTGGACACGCTGGAGGCTCCGGTGCCGGTGGCTCCCGCCCCGTGTCCTGCCGGTGCCGCGGGGCCGGCGCGCCCCGGGGTCCCCGAGTCCTACCTGTCGGGCCGGCAGCAGCAGTGGCTGGCGCTGCGGCTGCACCGCGCTCGCCGGTGGCGCGTCCCGGGGCTGCCCTGCATCCGCGACCCCTCCGGGCAATAAACCCTGAGCGGGACCAGACCCGAGCCTTGCGTCCGAGCCCGGTGCGGCGGGACAGGAGGGGGGGTCTGGGGAGTACTGGGGGCAGCGGGGGACCACAAGGGAGTATCCAGGGGTGCCGGTGGTACTGGGGAGCACTGGAGGGTGGAGGGGGGCACCGGGTGACACCATGGGGGGGGTGCAAACAACCCGAGGGGGCTGCCCCTCTGCATCCTCATCCTCCGGAGGGGCCGTAAGCACCTTGTGAGCGAGGGCGGTACCGGACAGCTCAAGCAGTGACCGGGGGCTGTTACCGGCCACTGCTCCCCCCCGCAGTGGGGGCTTGGGGGGCTCCTGAGCTTGTGCTCCCCGAAACCTTGTACCCAAGAGCCCCCCATCCATGGGGCAGCGGTGGGGACGCGGTAAAGCGGCTCCATGCCTGGGGTGTGCGCGGTGGGGGGCTTTGGATGCCTTAGCCTGCTGTTTATCCGCCCGCCCACCAGGCGGCGCCACTGCGGTCCCCGTCGCTCGGCGATGACGCTCCCGGCGCGACCGCAGCATGGCGGGCGAGCGGCGGCGGCGCGGCGGGGACGGGGCGCGGGAGCGGCCGCGGGGCCCGCGGCGGGAGCGGGAGCCCCGAGAGCAACGGCGGGGCCTGGGCCTGGGCCGGGGCCGCCCCGCGCTCGCCGTGGCCGCCGTGGCTGTCGCGGCCGCCGCCGCCGCTCTGTGGTTTGCGGCCCAGTGGGGCCGGTGGAGCGCGGCCGCCCGCCTCGTCAGCCCGCACCCGGCCCCGCCCGCGCTGCCGCCCGGCTCCACCGGGGCTCTCCGGTCGCCGCGGCTGTTCTGGGGCACGTACCGGCCTAACGTGTACTTCGGCATGAAGACGCGCAGCCCCAGGGCGCTCGTTACCGGTACCGGGAGGGCGGCGGGAGCCGGACGGGCCGAGCCCGCCGGGGTAGCGGCACTGACCCGCCGTTATTGCAGGGTTGATGTGGCTGCAGCAGCAGGAGGGAGGCGGCGGCCTGCGGCACACGTGCGAGGAGAGCGATGGGCTCTCGCGGTACGGGTGGGTGATGCACGACGGGGAGAGCTTCGGCGTGCAGGAGATCAGAGACGGGGCCGTGCTGCTGAGAACCGAGTTCGTGAAGAGGCCCGGAGGGGAGCACGGAGGAGACTGGAGCTGGAGGGTGACAGCGCAGATGGAGGTGAGGATGGGGATGGGGACTGCGAGAGCATGGAGCTGCTGCGAGGGCTGGAGCAGCTCTGCTCTGAGCCAGGCTGAGAGAGTTGGGCTGGGGCAGCCTGGAGAAGAGAAGGCTCCTGAAGGGGAGACCTGAGAGCAGCTCCAGTGCCTGAAGGGGCTGCAGGAAAGCTGGAGAGGGGCTTGGGACAAGGGCCTGGAGGGACAGGCCAAGGGGAATGGCTTTAACCTGCCAGAGGGGAGACTGAGCTGAGCTCTTAGGCAGAAGCTCTTCCCTAGGAGGGTGCTGAGGCGCTGGCACAGGGTGCCCAGAGCAGCTGTGGCTGCCCCATCCCTGGCGGTGTTCAAGGCCAGGTTGCACACAGGGGCTTGGAGCAAGCTGCTCCAGTGGAAGGGGTCCCTGCGGCACTTCCAGGCTCCTTCCCAACCCAATTCCCATCTCCCCCCCCCAGAACACAACCACCCCCCCTCCCCTCCTCTCCCTGTTCTTCTACGTGGCCACGGACGGTCAGGGCACGCTGGAGCCGCAGCTGGAGAACGGGACACGTTTGGCTGCGGTCAAAGGGACAACGGAGGAGCTGGGACACTTCACCCTCAGCTTCCTGCGCCCCACGGTGCCGAGCTCCCAGGACCCCAAACACGCCAGGTACAGCACCGCCGCGTCCCCCCTGCCCCCCCCTTGTGTCTCGCTCCCTGACGGCCTCTTCCCATCCCCAGTTACAACTGGCTGGAGGCGCCCAGCCCGGGGCTGCACCGTCTGACGGAGCTGGTGCGCAGCAGCCTCAGCCCCCGCTCCGTGTTCTCAACCCCGGGGCGGCCGCGCCGCCGGTTCTTCGCCCTGTCCCCGTCTGGGGGCCTCCCCGGTGACCCCCCCCGCGGGCGGGTGCTGCTGCACCAGGTGACGCTGGAGCCGCCGGCCGCCGTGGAGGTGACGTTCGAGTCGGGCAGCGCGGCCCCGGCCCCAGCGCCCCTGGCAGGAGCCGCTTTCTCGGCGGCGCTGGCTCGGCACGAGGCCGCGTTCCAGCAGCGCTTCGAGGCCACCTTCGGGCTGGCGGGGAAGGGCTTCACGGCGCCGCAGCAGCGCTTTGCGCAGGCGGCGCTCAGCGAGGTGCTGGGTGGCATCGGATACTTCCACGGGCACTCGCTGGTGCAGGCGGCGCCCGGGGAGCGAGCGGTGCCCGGCGCCGAGGCCGCGCTCTTCACCGCCGTCCCCTCCCGCTCCTTCTTCCCCCGCGGCTTCCTGTGGGACGAGGGCTTCCACCAGCTGCTGGTGGCGCGCTGGGACCCGGCGCTGAGCCGCGAGGTGCTGGCGCATTGGCTGGACCTGATGAACGCCGAGGGCTGGATCCCGCGGGAGCAGATCCTGGGGGAGGAGGCGCGGGCCAAGGTGCCCCCCGAGTTCGTGCTGCAGCGCAGTGAGACCGCGAACCCCCCGACGCTGCTGCTGGCGCTGGAGCGGCTGCTGCCGGCGGCGCCGCGGCCCTTCCTGCAGCGCCTCTTCCCGCGCCTGCGTGCCTGGTACGCGTGGCTGAACCGCACGCAGGCCGGGCCGGAGCCGCTGAGCTTCCGCTGGCGCGGGCGCGACACCGAGCACGAGCGCTTCCTCAACCCCAAGACGCTGGCGTCGGGGCTGGACGATTACCCCCGCGCCTCGCACCCGTCCCCGCACGAGCGGCACCTGGACCTGCGCTGCTGGATGGCGCTGGGCGCCCGCGTGCTGGCGGCGCTTGCCGACCGCCTGGGCGAGCCGGCGGAGCCGTTCCATGCCACGGCAGAGGCGCTCAGCGACAACGAGCTGCTGGAGCGGCTGCACTGGGCGCCCGAGCTCGGTGCCTTCGCCGACTACGGCAACCACAGCGTGGCCGTGGCCCTGCGCTGGCAGCCCCCGGCTCCCGCAGCCCCGGAGCAGCCCCCGGCGGCGCCGCAGCTCGTACGGGAGGTGCGGGAGGCGCCGCGGCTGCGGTTCGTGGATGCCCTGGGTTACGTGAGCCTGTTCCCGTTGCTGCTGCAGCTGTTGCGGCCAGACTCGCCACGGCTGCCCGCGGTGCTGGCCGCCATGCGCAGCGAGAGGCAGCTCTGGTCGCCCTTCGGGCTGCGCTCGCTGGCGCGGGACAGCACCTTCTACCTGCGGCGCAACACGCAGCACGACCCCCCATACTGGCGCGGCTCCGTCTGGCTCAACATCAACTACCTGGCGCTGCGGGCGCTGCACGGCTACGCCAGCACCGAGGGGCCGCAGCGGGAGCGCGCAGCGAAGCTGTACCGGGAGCTGCGCCACAACCTCATCACCAACGTGTACCGGCAGCACATGGAGAGCGGCTTCCTGTGGGAGCACTACAGCGACAGCTCCGGGCGCGGGCAGGGCTGCCGGCCCTTCGCCGGCTGGACCGCGCTGGTTGTGCTGGCCATGGCCGAGGACTATTAGTGCTGCCGGTACGGCACGGCTCTGCCTTGTCTCAGGTGCCGGGGGGCTGCGGTGCCCCCCACAATAAACCTCCACCCCTCGTGGCCTGTCTGTGCCTCTCCTGGGGGTCACAACCGGCCCGTGGTGCCTCGCCAGTGCTCCCAGTACAGCTGCGGTGCTGCCACACCTCTTTAATGGCGACACAATGGTACGGACGTGACCGGCCCCCCCCCGCCATGGGCAGCAGTTCGGGCTCAGTGGGTGCTGGGGGGGGCTGATGGGGCGAGGGCCCTCCCCGGGGGCTCCACAGGAGAGTCCAGACCCCGGGAACGCTGCCCTGTGCCGGGGGGAGCCATGGGGCAGCACCAGGGCAGGCTCAGATGGGTAGCACTGGGGAGCTGGGGCCATCACTGCAGGGGGGCGGGGGGGTGGTGCCACCCTTGCCCAGCAGACGGGAGCCTTCACCCTCTTCCTCCTCCTCCTGGCACCGTCCCACCTCGATGCCGGAGTCCCCAGTAAGGCGCCGGTGCCGGAAGTGCTCCCCAGTGCCACTGGTGCCAGTGCCCTCGTCCCATGGCGCGGCACCTTCCTCCTCCTCGCCCTCCTCGATGTCGGAGCAGGGCTGTGCGTACGCCTCACACAAGTCCGTGGTGGAGGAGAAGAGGCCGTGGAGCTGCGGCGGCTCCCAGCTGCCCACGGTGCCGGTGCTGCTGGTGCCGGCATCGTCACTGGGGGTGCTGGTGGCGTCTGTGGCCGGCGCCGACAGGGACGTGCTGCTGGGGGACGTGGCACAGCTCGAGCCGCAGGAGCAGCTGCTGCAGCGCTCGGAGCTGAGGCTGCTGCTGCGTGGCACCAGCACCGGGCTGTACGGCGGCGGCGGGGACCTGGGGCCGTGCGCGACCTCCTCGTAGGCCGGCAGCTTGAAGGAGGCCAAGAGCCCTGCGTGGGGGAAGAGGGGAGGCTCCGGTCAGGGCAGGGCCTTCCCCGGGGTGTGGGTGCTGCTGGGACCGATCCTGGGAGGGGTGGAACTGGAATGGGGCCCTGGGGCAGAGGTGCGGGGACACAGGGGGGGATGCAGGGGACTGGTGGAGATACATAGGGGAGATGCAAGAGGGGAAGGTGGGGGGGTGGGGACTGGGATGCAGGAGGCTGGGGTCGGACATGGGAGGAATGGGGGGAGAGGAGAATGTGGTGCACTGAGGGGATGCAAGAGGGATGTGAGGGGCTAGGGAAGGACAAGGGGTGTGGAGGGGGTGCAGGGTGAACACAGGGTGGATGTGGGGGAACACAGAGGGGATGTGGAAGGGCTGAAGGGGAGGGATGAGGGATGACGTGGGATGGGATACAGGGGGCTGGGGGGGCACAATGGAGGGGACCAAAAGGGGATGGAGAGGTCTGAGAAGGGCATCGGGGGGATGCAGGGAATTGGGAAGGACAAGGG